ATTTTAGAATTGTATTTAAAATGATGAAAATCGATTATTTTAATAATAATATTTTAAAGTATAAATAAAATTCTTATAAATGAATTTTATTATTTTAAAAACATATTATTTCTCTAAACATTTTTTTTCTATAGTTCTCTTCCTTCTTCATATATTTTCTAACTATATATTGAATATCAGAGATCGTTATGGTGATCCTTAAGGCAAATTTTTTATTTCTGTTTGATCAGTTTCTCAAATAGAGTAACTTAGTTTTTTGTCCATTTTTTTTATTAGTATGTTCTTTTTGTGTGTGTGGACCATCTTGGCTCGTAGCATGTAATGTCTGAGTCTTCTATAAGAATCTTTATTGATCAGTGATCTTAATGGTGTGATATTTCTTTCAGTAATTATATGCTATTAAAATGAGATGCTACAATGCTTGCTAGTTGTATCTTAATACGAACATGTGAAGGAAAAGTGATATAAATTGTTACTTTATTGAGGACAAAGTGACAATCAACTTCAATATATTTTGTTCTTTCATGAAAAATCATATTTTGAGTTATATGTAATGTTGATTTGCTCTCACAACACAATCACATCCTTCTAGGATAATAACCCCAAATATCCAAGTAACTATTTAAGTTAATTAAACTCACATGCAATGGTTGTTATAAAACAATATCCGCCTTTTACAAAAGAGCGAGAGATAATTGATTGTAACTTTTCCTTAATTTGTACAACAATAGTTATATTAATGTCTCGTGAATAAAGAGGCATGAGATAACATGGCATCAAAAGTATGAATTAAAACTCATCAGAATGAAGTTTATTGTTTATTATGTTTATTGTTCCATTCGTTATTAGACTCCTATCACACTTTACATTAATGTCCACTATTACATTATGCTTAGACACGAGAGGTATGTTGAAAATCTCACCTTACAAGTTATTTTTTAAAAGTTCAGTTAAACTTAAATGTTCATTTCTTTAACATTTATTCATATATTGTTTATAACTTTTTAATTGTTTTAATGTGAATAAAATTTATCATTATAAATATAATGACAATTTATNTATTTGTTTTATGAAGTACTAGAAATATTCTTCATTTTTTTAACAGTTTGACTTTATTAATAATATCTTCATTCTTGTGTTTCTCGTTCTATTTAACAATTTTTCTACCAAATTGTTAAAAAAGAAAAAATGACCAATATTTGCTAAATTTTCAACTAATCTATCAACTCAATATTTAAAAAAGAAAAAATGACCAACAAACAACTTAATCAATAAGTTAAAAATAATTTTTTAATGACAAATATAAAAAGATAATAAGTGTTTAGACAAAATTAAAAGTACAAAATATTAAATAAATAAATATTTTACAAAAATTTAATTAAAAACATCTAAATTTATGATACAGAAATTTATGTGTATTTTGTTTTTTAAAATCTTCCCATTGTCTCCAACCCCTTTTTCTAACTTTGCTCCAAAGTCGCAGCCGTCGTTAATGTTTTCCTGGCTTCTACCAAAAAAGGTGGATTTGTGATTTGTAATGGAGGGAGAAGATAAGCCTTTTTTCAAATCTATTTTCATTTCAATACAGAATCTCTAAACCAATTTAATTCTAAAACAAAACAAAAAAAATGCATAAAAAGAACGATTTTAGAAAAACAAAAAATCACGATAATCTTCAATATAATTTTATAAAAGTAATTTGAAGTTATAAATTTTATAATGAATAAACAACTGATGAAAAATTAATTAAATGGATTCTAATTAATTATTGTTAGAAATAATTTAAGTATGAGTTTACAAAGTCAAACATCATATAAATTAAAATATTTCATAAATAGATTGATCTAAAGAAGAGGCCCATGTTCGTTTTAGCGATCACCTTAGACCGTTATAATGAGATTTCTGGACTGTAATGGTTGTTGCAATGCAACGCATTCTCTTCTCAAATTTTCAATTTATACGTGTGTGCGATGCAAGTAGCAAGTAAATTTGTGGGTATCAGAGGCAAAGAGGAGGAAAGTTGAACAGGAAGAAAAGTTGTTTGAACAAGGTTGATTGCATAAATAGAAGGATGGAATTCAAGCAGAGCAGTCTAACCATACAAATATTATTGTGCAGCAAATATAAACAATCTATACAGCTTGTTCAAGTTGGTATTGGATTGGGTTTGTACAATGGAAGAAGATAGAAAACAAGAAGAAATAAAAGACAGTTTCTTTCTATAAACTTGAGTGTCAGAGAGTAGGGCATCCATGAGCAATCACGCCTGGAGCTGTGGGACATTTGGNGCTAGGGATACATCTAAGAACTGGAAGTTGGTTCCCTCTGATGCAAACCGTTTCTCTCTCAAAGAGCCATCGGCAAATGTAGTCTTATTGGACTATATTGCAACTGAGAAGTGGAATGGAATTGTAGATTTTGATGATCATTTGGATGACATTAGCAAGTGAGTGTTTTTTCCTTGCAGCATTTCGTATTTTCCCTACCATTTTATTTATCTGTGAAGCTATGACTGACATACGAATACGATGTACATATTCTATTGTTTGCAGGGATTGGCTCAACCCAGGGCTGTTCAACTGATCCCACCACATGTCTCCATTTTGCACGATTTACTTTGCAAGTGGAGGATGTTCAGACTTATATTGTGGTGCAAATGTTGGATCGTCAACAATGAACAATTAGGGACTATAAATTTGACTCAGGGAAGTTGCTTCATGAAGATTTTTCAGTTGCATAAACAGGATATTTACTACCAGTTCGAAAAGGATTTTGGTTGCAGAGCCTTTTTTGTTTTTTTATTCTTGGGTGTAGGTATACTATAGTGGAGTTTGTTTGCATATCTGCGAATTGTGATGTTGTCTTTCTTGGTATAAACAACATAACCATCACGTCCATTATCTAAGGCCATGTTTGGGGTGGTTGTCTGTTTTCACTTTTTATTTATAAATGAGTTTTAAAATGTTCTAATGCGTCCAATAATTTTATAATACTTAAAATAGTCTTGTATGGTTTAAAAGTTAAGATTAAAATATTTTTGCTTAAATTTCCTTACATATTTTAAGGATAAAGTTGTAACAAAATTTTAAGTTATAATATTTCAGGTTTCGGGTGTAGTAATTGTTTATAAAGATGTTATCTGGATTGGAATGTTCACCTTGTGTTGTATATAGAAAATGAAAATGTAGTTTCAAATATGAACTTTGATTTTTCTTAGTCTTTGAAATTAAA